ACACACCTCCGCCAACGCCAGCGCCATCCTCTCCACCACCGCTAGTATCAACATCAGCAGCAGCAACAGCACGGCAGCAACATCAGCAGAAGCAGGAGCTACCAGAACACTCTCTCACACACTCTCCACTCACTCACGAATTTCAATATCCAAATCAAAGTCGGGTTCAAATCGAAAACAGCCGCAACAGCAGCAACAACGCCTTGCAAATAGCACGCGGATAATGATAAAAAGAAAATAACACGCGCAGTTCGCATCCAGTGCCCGACTTGAACAGATCACATCAGTCTAGGTCCAGTCCCCGATAATATTATAATCGAAGCTTCACAATCATTTATTGAAAAGTAAAATCGACTCGACTTCCGGCTTCCGACTTCGTGGTGTTTTCACATTTTGCGCGTGTGAATCAAATTAAAAGTCCCAATCACAAAACTCAACTTTAATTTTCACTACCTAGTGTCTCTATCGCACCTTGTGCTCTCTAAAATGTAAGAAAAACAAAATTAAAAACAGCAAGAACACAACAGAACAACAAAGAATATTTTGTGCTCACAAAAGTAATAATTTAACAATAAGCGAATAACGAGTAAAGCGAAACCAGAATTGCTGGCAAAAGTTCGTTGCTCGAGAGCCGCTCTCCAGTTCTTGGTCCGATGATACTTCTTATGGGCCTTGGCAACAACAAGTTCTGAGCCATCATCAGTCTTTGCGTCTCTCTCCTGTTCTCTGCGTTTAAGCCAGACATAGGCGAAGAAATTTCAGAGCCGGTAAAGCCAAGAGCCTCGCCAACAAAGAAACACGTTTTTGTGTTTGCAGGCCCACAAAAAAAAAATACAAAACACGAAAATAAACGCAAAAACACGAAACACAAACTGAAAAAAGAAAGAAGAAAAACAAAATACCAGGCAAAAACGCAGACGTAGTCTTCCTCAGTTAACTCCGATTCGAGTCGACTTCTGGCCATAAAACCTTATGGCCTGCGTTCCAATAGGCCGCACACAGACAGCTAGACAGCCAGCCAGCCAGCATAGACTCTTGGCCACTTGTCGCTGCCGCTGTTGGCGTGTACTAAGTACGCATCCAAATAATTCCCGTAGTTTATTTTTATTGTTGTAATTACACGTCGGCGGAGTGCGAGGGAGACACGGCACTCGGCCCACGCGGTGTTTCACGGGCCTTAACTCTCTTCTTACCTGTTTTAGCAGCAAGCCAATGTGTGACTCAACAACAAGAACGAAAGAGGTACAACAAACCGGTAAAGCTAAAGAAATTTCGTGCGTGTTAATCAAAACCTGGAGAATGGAGAGAGACTCTCCGGCACAAAACGAGTTTTTTTTCACAACTCACAAGAAGAATGATAAAGAATGCCTCGCGAAAAATGCTAAATTATTTACACACTTGAAGCGCACAGGAGAGCACAAAATATTCAAAATCGCGAAATATTCCATGCATATTTTTGCCTTTGTTCCAGAGTCAGAATTACAAGATCCGCAACAACAGCAATAAAATATAACAAAAATATTGATAAAAAAAAAAACAAGATAATACACCAAAAATATTTCCAACAAAATCTGCACTTCCCATTCAACTTCAACGACTCTGACTCTACACTTTATTGGTAATAAGAGCAAGTTATTATTAAATAAACATAACCATTGTGTCTCATTTTGTTGTTTCTTATTTTGTGCAAAGCTTCAATTAGCTTTTTTACTTAATTTTCACCCTCATATGATTAATTTCCTCGATTTTTTTGGAGCTTCACGTTTGGCTTTGAATTGGCAAGAAAATATATAAAAGTACAAATTCCAAATTTGATTCCATTTATTTATTTGAATTCGTATTTATTTCCCACCATTAACATCACAAGAAAATAACCACACGAATTCTGCCATCTCTTGACCAGCAATCAGAAACCGACATAGAAATGCCGGACCAGTCCCAGCATAAATGAAATAAATCCAGAGCTAAAGGCAACAAAAATCCAAACGAACTCCCTGGTATTTTTCTAAGCCCCAACCAATCCCCCTCCAAAACCCGCCCCGCCCAAAACCCATCAGCCATCAAAGCATTACCGAACCGAATCCATTAAAAAATCAAAACTGAAGAAACAAAAAAGAACAAAATAAAACCATACAGAAAGGCACAAAACAAGAAACAGGCAAGAAGTGGCGAATTGTTGCTAAATCAGAGAATTTCAGTCGGTACAGAACAGTATTTTAAATTATTTATACGAACTAATTGTAATCGAAGATTTGCAAGAGATATTTACAAAAATCGAGATCCTGTTGAGACATACACGAATGTATTGTGAATTTTATAGAAACTTATATATCCATATATTTGTATGTTCGGTTGTTAGTTTTGAGCGTAATTTAAAGGGGTATTCGAACGGAAAAAATCAATTTAAAAAGGTGACCACAAATGAAAAACCAGCAAGAACAAGGAAATGAAAAAGGTGATACCCAAGAAGGTCGAAGGTAACCGCGACACAGAAGCGAAAGAACGTAAAGGTTGTTAAATTGAAAAAAAATAAATATTTACAAGAAAAGAAATCAACCCGTTAAATAGCAAACATATCAGCATCAAAGGACGGCAATAAACCATTATATGAAGGCAATCAAGAGAGGCTGCGTAAAATGAGAAAAAATCAAACAGAATTAGGAGGAATAGTTGTATAAACATTGATACTATAAAACAATAAAGCAAAATAGCCAATTTGCATATCTAAATACCTTTCTTTTGCATACTGATTTAATATCGGTTGTAGGCAGAGTCAATTTGTAATTCTTAAGTAAACAGCGTCAATCAGAGACCCACTCTCAATCAAATTTGTATGTAACCACAGTAAGATTTTCCTAGCTTCGTCTCTAGCATACAGTAAGGGGTTAACGTTTTTAAGGGAGTAAAGTAAAAGTGGGATCGCCGGGTCTAATCAATGCCTCGATCGACAAGAAATCGCGTTTTGACAATCACACGAAATTAGCGTATTTCATATACACATCAGATATATCGCCCCCGTGCGTAATATAGGATTTATATACATCTCCTCTACAGCATATATTTATAAAAACTTTTGCTAGCCTTGGCACTTTACAGATCTAAAATCGAACCTCTATTCTATGACAATCTCTAAGAGAACCACTTTGCTCTATAGAACTTCGAGGCTTAATCAATCAATCGAAGCGATCTTTACAATCTACAATCAACTTGCAATCAATCAGAACTTTAAACAATCCTCGAACGGTTTTCAAATATCTATACACATATTTATACACGTCTAAAAAATTAGCCAACCACAGTAGTGATATATTAGCAAATTAAAAATTTTAAGAAACACTTTTAAAATACGCTCAAAATAAAACAAAACTCAGTAGTCGTAAAACTAAACTTGTTAGCTGTTTTTGTCCATCGACTAATTGTAGCAACAATTTGCGTAAAGCTTTACGTCACACAATTGGCATAGCGAACATCGAAAACTAATTCAATTGGCATTTTATTATAACAGTAAGCTGAGTTCACATATTCACCAAACCACAAAACCTATCAACCCAGTGCAATTTTCCCAAACTCAAAACCCGTCAAAAAATACCAAAAACCGAAAATCTAACATTTGACTCGCGCAAAAAAACAACTCTCGAGAAAAAATCAAGTGCTAAGAACAGAAGCGGAGGCTATTTAAATAAACAGTTGTTGCCAATAAAACTGTCATCATTGCCGCGTTAACAGAAACCACGGCGTCAGCAGCGATTGCAGCGCTCAGTATCAGCAGCAGCTCTCAAGCGTCGCTAGCCGCCAACGCCCCCGCCACGCCCACACCCACCACGCCCACACCGCCGCCCAGTTCGTCAGTGGCAGGAGCAGCAGCAACGGTAAAGAGCGAAATCGTTGCATCCAATTCGGCCGAGTCCTCCCCTATACAAGATTTAATCATGGTAAGCTCCGCCCAGAGTCCGACCCTAATCAAATTACCGAATACGCACCTGAAAGCCTAAAAATCAAAGCGAAAAATTAGAACCGCTAAATATCCACCCGATGTATAAGAAAATAGATTCGAAATCAAAATCAGGAACTCTGTATACCTTGATTAAAAAATATGCCAAGACTATTTATTAACTAAAAATATATAAGAAACTTGTACAGTTTACTATGCAAAAAGCCATCTATATTCCTAAACTTTTTTTTTTGGTTAAATCTTTCTGCCATGATTAATCTATACTGCTAACCTAATATAACTTAATTGAACCATAAACTATATTTCGGGGTATTTCAAAGGTTTTTCAATGTCAATGGTTTTCTTTAATGCTAAGTTGTACATACTTTATATTTAATTTTAAGTTGATTTATTGCTTTGGTTTGGGAACTAGTTTTTAGTTTTAATGCTCATCTTACACCTTCCTTTGCGGTCGTGTATATAGTTTATTATTAGGTTGTGTTGCCAACCCAGCCATTGACATTAAAATCTAATTAAACGAAGCTGATGCCCGACTCATGATTTGGCCCCAAAAACTTTCTCGTCTTCTTTGCTTAAACTGTTCTTTCAAGCGGCCAAGTTGTGAGCGGGCTTAAATCTTTTAAAATTGGACAAATCTTTGTGCAACTACTTCCGTCTCTTTTTCTACTTCTCTCTCTGTACCGATCTTTCCCCGCCTCTCTATTGTTCTAATTGTAGATTTACCTATCCACTGGTAGCGCTCGCCAAACTCTCACTGCTCCCCTTATCTCTCTCACCCGAATTCTCTATCTATATCTCTGCCCTCAAACCACTTCCTGTAGCCCACTCTTTTTATCCAGCCCCATTACACGGTTTATAATTTCAAACGGATGATGTCGAAAGGGTCCTGCCCACTCCATACACACTTTTTAGTTTGTTGCGATTTGTTTTGTATTTTATTTACGAAAAAAACAGAAAAACCAATTCAAAAACCAAACTGAAACCAAAACAAAACAAAATCCTCGCCAAAAACCGAATACAACCAATAATCTGAACCCACCACGCACAGCAAATGCAATTGTTGCACGCACCGCCGTCCACGCATCCGCATCCACATCCGCATCAACATCCGCAGCACCCGGCAGCAGCCGCAGCCGCTTATCAGGCCATGCAGGTGCATCAGCATCAGCAGCAGCAACACCAGCATCAGCAGCAGCAGCAGCACCAGCAGCAGGCGGCAGTTTTCCACCAGGCGCAAGTTCAGCACCAGCAGCAACTGCAGCAGCAGTTCCACTACCAAGCCCAGGCCCAAGCTCAGGCTCAAGCTCAAGCCCAGGCGCAGGCCATGCTGCAGACCTACATGCAGCTGCAGGTGAACAGTGCCGTGGGCGTGGGCGTGGCCGCCTCCCCCGCCACGCCGACCAAGCCCGCAGGCGCCCAGATTCCGGGTGCGATCGCCGGACCGATTGCGGGTCCGGTGCCCGTTTCGGTGCCGACGCAGTTCTTCGCAGCGCCGAGCACTCCGCTGACCATCATTCCGGCGGTGGCCTCGTCGGCCATGTTCGCCACTGCGGCCACGCCCACTTCGGCGGCCACCACTCCGACCAACAATGTAAATAATACAGTTAATCTATCAGCCGTAACTAGAACTACTACCACTACTACTAAGAAGCAGCCGCCCGCAGCAGCGAATGCAGTCCTGAGCGCTGGCGGTGGTGTTGCAGTGGGTGGTGTCTCAGTGGGCGGTGGTGCTGGGCCCATGGCCTCGCTGCTGGGGCCAGCACCGCTGCCACTGCCCCTCACGCTGCCCCATCACCTGCCACTGGCCAGCGTTCGGGGCTGCAGCAGCGCCAGCAGCGGCTGCAGTTCTGCATCTTCTGATTGTTCTATGCCATCGCCAACTTCACTACACTTATCTTCTCCTAAAAAGGTTTGTGTGTTCACTAAAAAAAGCTATAAGACAACTCTCTCCTCTCAGATCACTTTGAGTTTTCCTTCAGTCATTTTCCTGTCGAGAAGTAGATATTAACTTTCATTCCCCACTAACTCCTAATCACTCCGGCTTTGCCTGTTGTTTTGGTAACTCTACTGCTTGGATATGCTCTCTAATCTCAACATTTTCCATCACTCACCGCTGTAGTTAGAATATATTCCTAGTCTTTTATCGTTTGCTGTTGTCCTCCTGTTTGTTGTCGTTGATTTTGTAGATGTAATTGCGATTTGAATTATTAATTTTAATGCCAGTCAATATCTAACTAATAAGACCATTAAGATAGTTGTAAGTCGTTATGAACTTTTCAGTACCTTCTTAAATTACTGATTAATAATTCCTTCATATCTTGCACACGTTAGTAAACAATAAAAATATACTCTTAATCCAGGATTATGCTTTTTAAATAGTTATTGAATTATATTTTTTTTCTAACAAATTTTCACCTTATTTAAAACTAGTTTATAAATTGAATATTTTTTTTGAACCGCAAACACTCTTGTTTGAGACCTTCTTTGTTAGGGTGCGAATCGAACGATAATTAAATGCCAATTAAACGAAATATGAATATGGAACACCGACCCTTATTCCTTGTACGGCCTTTAGGTCCGTTTTTATTGGCCCACGTTTCCTGAAGGGTCACTCCTTGGGTTCTGTGAGTCAATTGTGCGTAATAAAATAATGTGCAACCGCTCGTCCATCCGACCAGCATACAAATGAGCCTTAAATCGGATTTCTATATCCGACTCGAATTTATGGACTCGATCTGAACTTTGTTGGAAGTTCGTAAATTTAAAAGAAAGACAAAGTGGGCTCACGAAATATAAAAGTTAAGAAGATGCAAAAAATTGCTTACTGACTGAGTTTATTATTTGTTTTATCAGTCACAACTATCGCGTTGTAGGCGGACATTAACCGCAATTGTTTGGCCAGCACTTACGCTTTGTCCTGGCCAACTGTTCCGGCTCCCTCCGCCTCTTGCCGTTCTAAGCACTTTTCCGCCTGCGTTTTCCCCAGGCAGCAACATGCCGCCCGTATTGATTAGTTGGCGTTGAAAATGTCGCTGCAATTTGTTAGCACAAACTGCACCACGAAAGCAAAAAGTTGTGCCTCCTCGGCACTCACTCCTGGTTATAGAACGGCCGGGTGTGACCCTCTGCTCCTTTTCCAGTTGTATTTCCTCTGTCGTGGCCGCGAGTCAAACAAACGTGGCCTGTTCGCCTAGTGTGCCAGTGACCAGTGCTCGGTGTTCAGTGTCGTGTATCGCCCCTCGTATCCTGTGTCCTTTGTATTAGGTGTCCAACTATCCGAGTATGCGAGTGTCGGCGTACGATGCGTATGTGTGCTCCGTTTGTTATTCTAACAGCCGAGCTGGCAGAACGGACGGCCAACGTCTGCCACATTTATTATCGATTTATCGTGGCCAGCAGCTCCTTGCTGTTGCAATTACCCCCCGACCCTCATTAATGTTTAAACTGTACTTAAATGACTCTATTATGTGCTTCCCCCTTTCCGAACACCGTACACGTTAAATTGTCTGTAATTGATTTTGTTTAACGTACGCCTCGATAACACCTGACACCCCTGCCCTTATCCATTAGCCGATTTAAATGTTGATTTTAGTCTTTCACTTTATTTTCGTGCGATTTTCCATCTGGCCTTCATTAAATGCAGCCATTCGTACATGAAAATATTTTGTGATTAAATAGTTTTCGCATCGATCCCCTTTGCATTGCTTTGTGTAATTATTATTGTTATATGGCAACAAATTCCGTTATGTTGTTTTTATTAATGCCCGCAAAAACGGAATACAGTAGTATTTAAATTAATTTGTATTTATGTGGCCCAACCAGCTGCTTTTCCACTTTTCCCACCTGTGCTTCCCGTTGTGGCAAATATTTTTGTCGGCAGCAGCCGCAGCAGTGAACTGCCTAAGCAAACAGCAATGAAACTGATGCGTAGGCAAACAACCCCTAGGTGCTAATAAAGACCACGAAACAAATCCAGCAAACCGCACGCTAAATAAGGATATTGACAATGAAACATGAAAGATTCCTCGGCGAGGGCAAATAAAAAAATTTTCAAATTAGGCAGTAGGGATTGTGATAAACATGTTGAGCGGGGACAACTTCGTGGGAAAAGCTCTTGCAAGTGTCACGACCTCATCAGGGAACTCGCTTTGAAGTGCCGGATTCAGTCAGTCTGCACTTCTAATAATAATCCCCACAACTGCCGGCCCTCGGCCAACTTACAAACGCACAAATAAACTTTTTAAATTTAAAAATTCATCAAACTTTCAAGCCGGGCCGCCAAGTCAAACAAACTAGATGAGCGCTGGCAGGGGTCAGCATGCAAGAAAAAATAAATAACAAGAAAGGAAAGCTAACTTCGGACGGAGCCGAAGTTGATATACCCTTGCAGAATATTTTGTAAATTATATTCTTCAAAATTATTCATTTGATGCATTCTTAATACTCATAAAAAGTCCCAATTTCCTAATTTTAAAAACACCAAAGTTATGGCATTTTCAATCGTTCAGTTATATGACAGCTATAAGATATAGTCGGCCGATCATTATGAAATTTTGTATGTCGGATTGATTGGCCAAAAATAAAACCCATAGAAAATCCCAACTTCTTAACTTTACAAACACCAAAGTTATGGCTTTTCCGATCGTTCAGTTATATGGCAGCTATATGATATAGTCGCCCGATTCGGCTCGTTCCGACTTATATACTACCTGCAATAGAAAAACAACTTTTGGGAAAGTTTCAAGCAGATAGCTTTAAAACTGAGGGACTAGTTTGCGTAGAAACGGACGGACGGACAGACGGACGGACAGACGGACGGACAGACGGACAGACGGACAGACGGACATGGCTAGATCGACTCTCGTGGTGATGCTGATCAAGAATATATATACTTTATAGGGTCGGAAATGTCTCCTTCACTGCGTTGCAAACTTTTGACTGAAATTATAATACCCTCTGCAAGGGTATAAAAATATGTATATATATGAGGAAAAAAATTACATTAATCCGTAATCGAAAAACTTGACTCGAACACGGCGGAAAAGTTTTCGCTGCGCGTTGAAATTTATATCATTTTTTATAATAAGCGATTTACAAGCGCGCTGCATAAAAGTGTTTTTCAACTACCAAATTTCAATTATTTTCATGTTTTTGGTTTTGTCCCTCAATAAACAATTTGAAATTTAAATGCAGCAGTGACAAAGTTCCCTTTTGCCCAGAAAAGAAAGTGGGGCAAGCAATATGTTGCCCTAAATAAGTAGGGGCAAGCAGAAAGGAATTGCTTCGTGCTAGCATCAAATTGAGATGAGAAAATAAAATTCAATAAACTCTTGTTAAGCACGCAGTGGTACAGGACGAGGACAGCATGGGGGACAGCAGCTGTGTGCTCCGAAACAGGACAACGTTTTAAATATTGACAGCTACAAAGGGGAGTCCCGTTTCCGCCCTTCCAATTCCTGGTATCCCTGATGACGAGGCTGCCGAGTAAATAGATAAATCAACCCCAGAGACATGAACACCAAGCATTTTTGCATTGATCAAAGCTGGCTCACCAGGGGGCAAATGGGGTGGGAGCAGGGCGAAGGACAGGACATGATGCCTAAGCATTGTTATGATTTATCCGGCCTTCAATCGATTTTCGTAGTACACTTTTTGGGGACTTAGGAAGTCCCATCTCTCACTCACAAGAACTTGTACAATTACGCTAATCAGAGAGGCTAGCACATATGGCTCGACTCAATTGATAACAGTGGACTATAAAAAGACTATAAAGTTAACATTTCAAAAGGGTGAATAAGTGAAAACGAGAGCTATGTTTGGAGAAAGTAGTTTACTCCTTCTCCGCTTCACTGTACCTTGGGCTGTCTTCGAATGTCGTTGCAACTTGCCTGTCGCTGACAAACAAATTAAAAAGTTATGACTAAAAACGTTTCGCGCTCGGCAATGAAATGAAATTTGTTCGCTCGGACAACGCTCAGTGTTCAGAGCTTTGCTGTGCCTTTGGCTAAATTTAAATTGCTTTTGTTGCGCTTTTGTAGTTGTCTAGTTGTTGTTGCCGCGGCTCCTGTTCCTGCTCCTAGTCCCGCTCCTCCGGCAGCTGTTGATGATGATTTTCCTTTTTGTGAGCGCAAGTTTTCTTTGTTGTTTGCACAAATAGTTTTTGTCGCCCGCGCACAGCCATAAAAACGCAAGATTTTCTTTTGAATGGCGACGCGGCGCGTGAAAAAAGATCTCGAATAAAAAATAGCAAAAAATGTGTGTAGCTGCGAATTAAGTTTGCAGTTAAACGGCCACGGCTAAGCGCATTAAGAGAAAAGTTTTTGCATCCAATGGCGCTCCCAGCTTTTTCCTCTATTTCGGCCCAAACTTTTCCGAAATCATTAAAAGCTTAAATGCGGCGACCAGGAGCATGAATATGAATATGAATATTGAATGTGCGCCGGAATGAGTGACTGACGGAGACCATTAAAACCAAGCGCGCCCTTCAACCCCCTAAGCCAACTTGCGGGGTTGTAACTTTGGCTTTTACGAGCGCAAAATGTTTGCCCTCCAGTGCACTAATCCACCGAGCACACAAGCTCACTGGCACACCAGCAAACTACCAAACTAGCAGACTGGCAGGAGCTCGCAAGCATGTGAGCAGGGGCCAAGAACCAGAGACCAACTCGGGCACTCACTCAAACTAGAAGCGACAAACTAACTTATTAATATGCAATGCACACTTTGTTGCTGTATTAATTGCAATATTAAATTTCCACTAATACTCTCTTAGCAGGGCTAGCAGAGCAGGACTCGCCTTTCGTCTACACTGAAGAAATAAATGTACTTCTTTCGTTAATAAGGCATCTGTTTTACAATATGTTAGGATTTTGTTGAACAACGTTTTGGAATTACGGTTGTCCTTAAATG